CTTGGAACTGGTTGGAGATTTAAGCACCGAGTCATTTTTAGGATGTTTTAGAAGATTTGTTGCCAGAAGAGGTCGATGCTCCCACATTTGGAGTGATCAAGGTACAAACTTTGTAGGAGCCAGTAAAGAATTAGCTAAAATGTGGCAAGAAGCAAAATTAAGTATACCTGAAGATTTAATAAACATTTTAGCTGAAGATAGAACCAATTGGCACTTTAACCCACCTTATAGCCCAAATTTTGGAGGTTTATGGGAAGCTGGGGTGAAATCTATAAAATATCACTTAAGAAGAATTCTTGATAGAACACTTACCTTTGAAGAGATGTCCACCACACTGTGCCAGATTGAAGCCTGCTTAAACTCACGTCCACTATGTCCAATAGATCATAATGATATTGACAATTTAAATGTACTTACTCCTGGACACTTCCTCATTGGAGAAGCTCCAATCAATGTACCTGAACCAGATCTTAGCCAAGTGAATGTAAACAGACTGTCTAGATGGCAACATACACAGAGGATACTTCAAAACTTTTGGCATAAATGGAAGACGGAATATCTCACACGTTTACAACAAAGACCTAAATGGTTAACTTTAAAGGATGAGTTTAAAATTGGAGAAGTGCTTCTGATTAAGGAAGATCACCTTCCTCCGGGCAAATGGGCCTTAGGTCGCATAGTTGAAAAATATCCTGGCTCTGATAACATCTGTAGAGTTTACAGCTTAAAATGTTGTGGTAAATTGATTAAGAGATCCATTAGTAGACTGTGTAAATTGCCAAATAATGAATAACTTTCATTAAACTTAAAATTTGGTTACTTTATAAACTTTATTGTTTTGTTTTTTACTAAATTAAATTTAAGTAAATCTATAAATATATTTAATACAAATAGTTAACATTTAATTGGCAGTAATAGTTAAAGGATTGATAAAAGAAGGTTGTTTTAAAAAATATAAATATTTATTCATGTAAAGTTAATTAAGAATGACCTAATGTTCATAAAATTCACCTATTTATTATAGGTTTTTTGTACTTTCTGATTTGTATTTTAAAATCTGATTTATGTTTGATATTGTAAATTCTAGTAATTTGTTTGGTTAAACCCTTGGAGCTTATCAGAATGAAAACTTACAATTTTGCTATGATTTACTGTATGTTTCTCAAAAACTTCGTTTTTGGGGGGGCGGTATGTTGAGTTGGGTAATCTATTTTATCGGTATAATCTGTGTCATTGCATTTGCCCTCCATTACTGCTGCAAAATTTATACAAATTGTTTGTCTCTAAAAAGTTACGTTTAATAAATTCTATAAAACTATCCAAGTTATTATTTAAATACGACAAAGTGGGTGAACAAACAATCTGTCTTTTTGGGAATCTTATTTTTTAGCTATAAATAGCACTCCATTAAAATTTCAAGCTGCCTCAAAAACATTTTTTATAATTTTTTGCAAAATTTTTTTGCACGCGTCTGGTAATGTTACAACCCCGATTAAATTGTCTGGCTTATTTTTTTTCGTATTTATTAAGTATTACACTGCAACATATATAAATTGCGTATTGCCTCAAATATATTATTGGGGAAAAAAAATTAATATTTTTAAAAATGTAGGGGTTGATTTAGCCCCGCTACTCACCAGCCAGGTCTGCAATTCCGTGTTGGAATATAATAGGAGAGGTATGTGACAAGTTTTCAGCTTGCCTCAAATACCTACCCAAAAATTGGTACCAGCTCTCGGACTAGAATGAACAGACCGTCGAGGCGGTGCGCTCAGTATTCGCGGACTGGGTGAACTGTGACTGGGGGCGTCCAACCTTCCGGTCGATGCATTTTTTCACCGGCTTTTGTTTTTCTTTTACATTTGCTTTCGGCCGGTACCTCCATGACAATGGAGTGCCACCACTGTGATCTAAATGACACCTGATGGTGTCAACGATGTGGCATCCTGCTCTGTCGATTTTGTTGAGGGCGCGATAGACTAGGTGACAACTAGGTGTCAGTAGGCCGAGAGGCAGAGTCGCATCCCATTTAAAGGCGATTTTTCGCCAGAGGAGGAGTTTACGAAGGCTCTGGGCGACTTGTTCTTCCAGGAACAAGCACTAGCTTGATGAAACGGAAGAACAGCGAGCCCAGAGCGGGTGAGCGTCAAAAATGTGCCGTGGCCCTCTCCACGCCACTTGTGAATGCATTTAACTCACGAAGCTATCCTTCAAATATGAAGTCTGCTTCGGAGGCGCTCGGGCAACAGTTAGCAAATCCCAACCCTCCTGGCTGTAATCGATGAAAAATATTACAAGTGAGGTGTTAAATTCGTAAGATTTCTCAATGATTTGTCTAATATTGAGAATTAGCTCTCGAGTGCCTCTACCTTTGACAAAACCAGCCTGCTTTTGGGGAATCTGCCAGTAGAGGAAGTATCTTAAGCAGTTATTTATTAATTATATGTAGAATGATTTTGCTGCTGTGAGAGACCAGAGCCAGTGTCCTGTAGTTATTCCAAATCTTAGTAGAACCCTTTTTGTGCAGGGGTAGAATAACTGATTCAGTCCAGTCCTTTGGCCATCTGCCAGTCAGCCAATTCGGTTGCAGTTGTGATGAAGATAGTCGATGATATCACCCAGGGCTTTCAACACCTAAGCCGTTATTTGGTCGGGTCCTAGGGCTTTCTTGCATTTCAATGCTGCTATGGCTGCTGTTATTTCAGAACGCAGTATTGGGGGCTCCGGCTCTAGGTTGTTCCAGTTTGGACACGATTCCAGTGAGGCATCCGGTCGCCCTAATTATGTCTAGCGTAGTATTTATTTGGGTTTTCAGATGATTCCAGCATAGATTTGCATTATCTTCAATAAACACACGTAAAATACGCGGCACTTAAGTTGACCTAAAATATATTATTATATTGAATAGTCGTCCACTAAAATCCCTATTAACACTTTAGTTCCTAATTATATCTGCGCAGATAGCCACCATTTTGGTTCAACTTATATGCCGCGTATTGTTTTTTTTATTATTCGTCATTCATTCCTGGCCCCAGTTTCTAAAAGATATGCGCCATATGTCAGCAGCGTTGTTTTAGTTGCTAATAAAGTAGTTGCATTAGCAATTACTTTAACTACAATTACTTACTACAACTACAATTTTTAGGCTATTAAGCCTAAAAATTGTAGTTACAGAATGCACGAAAAAATTACCAGATCCTGTGGTAAGGCTGTTTTTGTGTCGTAATTTTTCTCGTCGATATGACCTTGTCAGATCTGACAGACTGGTAATCTTCTTTTCGATAGTGTCCACTGCAATCCCCAATTTCAAACTAATATCGTTCCACGCATCTTGTTTCACATTTTTTATTTAACGTATCCCAGAGAACAGGTTGACGGCTCATATAATTTTATCAATTTAATAGCAGTGTCGTTGGCAATTGCGATTATAAGGGACACGCCCGTTTCCATCAAATACACGGCTCGGATTGAGGCTCCATTGAGCACGGCAAAAAAAACCGACAAAATATGGCTCGGTTCGCGGTAACAAAGTAGCCTCATACGCGGCGTGCCGCAAGTTGAGGCAGCGTCTCCACTTGTGCGGCCGCGGAGCGAGGCAGCCGCTAGACCCGAGTTTGCCTCTAGTGGATACCCGGCTTAATTGATCTTCATCTTCTATTTAAATATATATACTAAACGGTTGCATTTTCTCAGAGTGCATTGTTAGGAAGCAATGGCCGCACGCCTTTGCCGCCAAAATTGAATTCCAACTTTAAGCTGGAAACTTCTAAGATTGGAGACATTCACTCACTGTACTGGATGCAAGATTCGCAACATTTCAGTTCTGGAATTGAAGTCAAGGTACATTTTCAGTTCTAATTCTTCTTTATTCATACCAACATTGACTATAAAAATATTATGCTGTTATCACAGGTGCATTATGCTAGCATATCGAGACTAGATGTAGAAAAGGCCATAGGTATGATGAATAAAGCTGCAATAGGAACTGATTCAGACGACAATCATTTTGGTTTCGACTTTAGCGGCGTTACAAAAAGGTAAATTATTTCTGTCAGGCATAAGCCGCCTATGAATTTATGATTGTATACTTTTTATTAATAATATCACGTTTATAGATAGTCCTAAAACCAGGTACAATACCTGTTATACTCTTTCAACATATTTTTTCGCTCTAGAAATATATAGTGCAGTGGAGAATAATATTGGGAATATGATCTGACTGAGTATATCATAAATTATTCTGTAACTGTAAATGATATATGAAAGTCATGTGCTTACTACAGAAATAAACTGAATATACATGGTCATAACTATACGTCTAATTTCTAGTTTGCTATTAGAATGATAATGTATTTCTAATTCAGTGGCGAACGCGTCATGGGTATTGTGGTTGATGGCTCATGTAAGCGCACGGTGAGCGCACGTCCAGATCTTCTGTGGCCGATTCCGGATCATTGGGAGTTTGAAGAAGCCGCTACTGTACCAATGGCCTACATGACGGCGTTTTACTGTCTCAATTCGTGTGTTGTAAGTTGCAAATGTGTTAAATAACTAGTCAGGTCATAAGTATTGTCACACAGTAAAAACTTTTCTTTTAGAATGCTGGCCACAAAAAAGTTTATTGAATTCGAATTTCGAATAGTTCATGAAAATAAAAATGTATACTTTTAGAATTTTACTCATTTTTAAATATGGAGTGGACGCTTAAAGAAGACCGTGTTGCAGTTATTGCGTTGCATCGTTGCGGTTACGCGCCAATTCAAATTTTTAACATACTGACAAATTTGAATATAACCAAAAGATTCGTTTATCGTACCATCAAACGATACAATGAAGACTC